GCACGGTGTCCCAAGGGGTTAAGCTGTTTGAAATTGGAAAATGTGTTTGGGAATCGGTGAAAAAAGATAAACACACATAACTGACAGAAGTAGAACAAACCAAATGATGTAATGCAATTCGGTGATTTCAAGTGCTTCTAGTTCATGTTTCATATGCTTTTATTACCTACTTAATGTTTTGTCATTAAATTGAGTAATATGTATTTAAATATTTCATACAAAATATGTACGAATATATTAATTTCCATATTTTTCTCGAAACCTTTAACCCCTTCGCAATGTTTAACCATTAACCCCAAACACAGTTCAGTGCCCAGTGCCACTCATCAATGTCACAAACATAAGCACGGAAAAATCGAGGAAAACCCTCCACGGGAGAGGCCTCACTGAATTACTCAGAAATTCAGAAATTCGTGCAATAAAACACAGAAAATACCCGCATAAATTTCTTTTCAACGCGCTAAGGGCGTAAAAAAATCTTCCGGTTTATGGATTTTGCGCTGGCAACTTGTATGAGTATTTTCTCATATAACTTATTTAATAGTGCAACATTCAGTGAGTGTGAGGGTGACGGTGGGGGTGGGGGGAACTGCATTAAATGTGCTTAAGCGAGCGAAAGGTCATGTGCGTGATTACTCATACGACGTGTGGCCGTCGCGGAGATCAGCTCATATGCCGGAAAATAAAACTGAAAGCAAGTGAAAGAGGGTTTCATATCAATGACATGACATATTAAACGGGCCACCCAAAGCGGATTTGTCCACATATATGTACGTACTTCAAATCTTCAGATAAGTTGGGGCGGAAAGTGGTCGGGAGGATGTAGGCGTTGGTCAGTGGGCGGGGCCGATGGCATCTGTAGCGTTTCTTGCTCTTCACAAATCAGAGCGTAAATACAATGCTGAAAGGCGATGGGAAAGCGAGACGAAAAGCGAGAAACGATGCGTGTTCTGATAGCGGAATCTGCTCAGTGGCACTTGAATGGACTGCGATGGTACAGTGATTACTGGAGGCAAGAAGACTGCCCAGCACTCGCAGTTTCAATACCAACCAGTCTAGTTTAAGACAGGCTACGCACTTATTTATAGTAAGATAAACTCCAGTGCTATGAGATAGTAATACTTAATAGTTGCAAATAGATTTTTAATCGCATAAAATCCGCTTACAAATCAGTTAAAGGCTTAGGACCCGCATTTCTGTAAAGTCCACCCACGCCACGCATCATTCGCAGAGCGAACTATAGATCCACTCAAAGCAGTTATCACTGTATCAGCAGCTCACATGCGGGCAGGGTCCAGTTTAGTCGGTCTGAGGGCATTGAATAGACCTGGGAGGGAGTGGGGGAGATAGCAAATAGATGGCGAGTGTGGAGTTCCGGGAGATAAAAGCGAGTCGGTGGAGGAAGCATCAACAGTCGGCGACCATTAGCTGCTTATCGCGCTTCGTCTTCGGCTGCTGATTCTTTTATATACATTTTTCTCTGTTTTTTTTTTTTTTCATTTTTCTCTTTTTCTTTGCCATTGAGTAGGTCTGAAAATAGCAGCCACAGTGAGCTCAAGTGTAAAGTTATCAAGTGGCTGCGACTGGCAGCCAGATAGACGGACACCAGTCAAGGGTTAAAGGCATAGACAACGTCGAGTGTGTTTGGCCGTGGCTTGTGACATAAAATGCTATCAGAAAGGATTATGACAAGCCTGCAAAAACGAGAAAAACATGGTAAAGAGCGAGGTGAAACAGTGTACAGAACTGTATCACTGGCACAAAGAAATAGAGTCGACGGTGACGGTGACGATGATGATGATGATGATGATGATGATGCAATGACGACGATATAGCCGACAACCAAGTGTCAAAGTCGGACATTCGACGCCATAAAATATTTACACCAAAAAGCAGCAAAGGAGCCTCGAGTTATCTGAAGAATATCACTTCAGTCGAGTAAAGTTATCCTCTAGTTCTTAGGAGAGGAAGAGGGAGGAGGAATAAGTGTCACAATTGTTGGTTAAATAAGCTGAGGATTTTTCACTTCAGCTGAGAGGTGTTTGTAGCTTTATCTAAGCCGAGTTAGCTAGATTTAAGTGGTTGTCCTTGTCAAATTGTATTTTTTTCATTTTATTACATTTAATCCCTGTATCTCAACCAAGAAAATACAGCTGCAAACATATTTTTTATCGTTAAACCACTTTACAGACATCAACAAAGAGCACGAACTCAGGAAAGATGAATCCAATGAATCATGCCCAGCTCAAAGAGCAGAAAGATCACAAAGAAATCTCGATCGTTGCAAGTAAACATACTTTAAGATGTACATATGTATGTATGGCATTCCGGTCTGTGCAATTGTGATCTATGAAGAGGAAAAGCTGTAACTATAAGCTGCACTGGTAAAAAAGTTCAAGTGAGTGTTATACCATATAAACAGTAAAAACTTCATCTCAGTTCCTACATAAATTGTTTAGATCGTACTAAAATAAACAGGAAGCCACTATTGGTTTTATTTTCTTTTACTTTATTGAGGGCAATATAACTTGACTGCTCTTCAACGGAAGTCTAGTTTAATTGTTTAGCGTGTAGGTACTTAATTTCTTGTGCAACGTCTTATAACTTCATAACTTTTATGACAGGCGAATGAAGCAGTTTAGAAGGAGCCACAGTGAGTTACAGACACAGAGCTGGGTATAATTAAAACGAGGCAACACAAGCGGCAGCTCGTGGGGCAATTAACGATAGTTAAGTTGCAAGTATCAGTTCGCTGACAAACAACCAAGACAAGTCCAGCAACTAGCAACTACAGTTAGTGGGTTTGTTGTAATGGCCTTGGCAGACAACTTGCAACTCGAGTGACATTCCTTGGTTTTATTTGTACCCCCTTTTTAGTTGCATCAACCAGCTGCTGCACACAACTTCTCAATAATGCAAGAAAACATTTAAACTGCAGCTGAAATAAAGCCAACTTAACCAGATGTTTTTGGTTTTTTTTTTTTTTTTTTTGGTTAATGCAACATTTATGAGCCGAGGCGAAACAGAAGCTCCCAAATGGCAAAATCGTGAGAAATTGTTTCAATGCAAGCTCAAGATGCATTTGAAATTGTTTCCGCTTGAAGGATTGCCCAATTGTTGACGGGGGTGCTGCAATTCCGAGGAGAAAACACTGACATATTGGGTGCGGTGGAGAAAATGCGTTGCAAACTTCATTCTTCATCGAAATGAAATAGTAAAATTGCTCACTGAACATGAGTTGAAATGTTGTAAAGGAGAACAAAATTCAGAATGGAATTCATTCTGCTGAATTGATGAAAGGAAATCACTTGGTGAAATAATTATTACACTTCAATAAGAATTCAAAATACATGGTTGTTTAAATTTCACTATTTCCTGGTTCAGCAATTATTTTGTGTAAGTCTACTTTTCCACGAAATCTGAAACGATTTATTTACCAACATATGAGTCCAATTAAGGCCATATATTGGGTATTTCAAAACAAAAGCCCCGACACAAAATGTCAATTAAATACTCAAGCCAAATACGGTTGGATTTCCAGCCAATCAAGACCATTAGTCAGATGGTCAGGGGCTTACGTGTGGCAATCAAACTATATTTTACATTTGGCGCCGCTGTTTCTTTGACTACGCCCCTGACTAGCTTGCAAAACACACAAAATCGCTCCGATTATGGGAAGAAAAGCAGCTGTTCGCCGAACTAGTTTCTGGAACAAAAAATGAAGGCAAAAAAAGCTAAACAAAAACCGAAAATGAAACCGTTTGCGTGGGCGTTGAAAGACAATTAGCCGCATGCCGCAAAATCAAGCGACCGAAACGGGTTTTTCAGTGAGTCAACGTGGTGCAAACTATACGGGTTTCCATGTCATGCCTAAATAAACCATCAAAAATGCATGGCGAATTTTATGAAATCCAAAGATTATACGGGTACACCACTCCACACACATTCGATCAAGTAATTCATCAAAATATGTTTACACTTTCCGAAGTTTTTGGCATATTTCCGGCCCTTTTGTCTGTCAAATTGCATTTGCTGGGCAAGGAGTGCATTCAATTAACCCAACGAAAAAAAGCTAAACTGACAACCCATCAAAATGCGTTTTTAGACCATTAAAAGCTTTTCCCACCATGCCAACGCAGAAATCGATAAGTTTCTGTCTGAAAATGCGAATTCGTTTTGCATTTATTTTTGCGTTCCGTTGCGTTTTATATTTGTATCTGTTGCGGTCTCGCAAAGTTTTTTGCATCAAAGTTTTTTAACTAAAAATTGCACTATTGTTTTTTGTTTTATTTGGAAAGTGTTTTCGGTCAGAAAAAGCTGAAGGACACAATAAAAGAAGTTCAGTTTTTGTTGGTATAAATGCAAAAATTCGAGATGGAATGAGTTGATGGTTCCCTTTTTTTTGTGGGTAACTTGATTGAAGTTCGGTTCTTTGGAGCAGGAAATGTTTTGAATTTTTAACAGCTGGGAAAAAACTTCATGTTTTGAATGGGAAAATTGAAGCGGAATCAGTTTTTAGTGCTATAGTTACAGGTATTACAAGGAGCAGTCTATGGTTCAACTGAAGAGCCATTTAAGCTGAATTAAATATCATTGAAAATATTTAAATTTTGCTTTAAAATAAACGTAAAATATTATTGAAACTTTGATTTAAACAGTCATCAAAGTTTCAATAATAATAATAATAAATTCTTATTGCTTCAATACATATACTTTTCCTTTTGACATTTTCAGCAACGCCCGCTTGATTTAAACAAGTTTTTCTGAAGCCGCAACTTGGATTGCATCAATGCACATATACATAAATTTATCTATGGATTATTGCATTACCATAACTAACTATTGTTTGAAAGATACTGCACCCACATGGAAGCACAACTCACAGAGTGACTCAACTCATTGAGAGTTTTCCCGGCATTATAGACAAATCAAGGTAGAAATAATTGTTAACTACAGTTTTCTCTTAGAACTGTGGGTACATATTAATAATTTCTACTCACTTAATCTGCCGAAGCTGTGCGAAAGCCTCTTCTTGAGTTTTTGAAGAGCTCCTCCCTTTTTCTCGCGCATTGTGACGCCTGCGAATAAATGGAAAAAATATACATAAATAAATTTACGCACACAAATCACTTAATTGCGCTGAAATGTGAGAGATTTATTAAGTGACATTCGGTGATTGCATAATGATGGCTCCAATCAAGTTGTCTGTTTTCTATATATACATTGGGAAAACTTCAAAACAAACAAACAGGGGAAACAAAACGCGGATTTCGTTGTTATATACGAAATGAACATAAATCAGCCGAGCGTGGTCTCACATAATAAACAGGGTGACCCCAGAGATGGAAAATCGTGGGGACTGCATTTCCCCAAATGAATAATCAACAAATTTTACACGAACCAAAATATTCGGCCGAAAATAGAAAATGCATTTCTCAGTTTATTTTGGTGTTCGAGGGGGAAACTCTCGTTCCCCTCCATAACTCAGCAGTATAATTAAGTTTTCTTTTTAATTCTGTTGTTTGTCGAAATGATCAAATAATAACATTTAGCAAAAAGCGCTTATTTGAATGTTCAGTGAGGCATGAAAATTGGTATTTGTTGCCTTACTTCAATGGGTTTTCAATGGGAGGCGTGTCTGGTTTTCCTGGTTTGCTGATTGCATTAATGATTTCGATTTGTGTTTTTTCGCTATTATTAGAACGCATAAAAATGAGAATATTTTGTGGCTGGTATAAATAAAGCAAGTGGGTCAGCAACTATATTGCAAAGTGGTAATAGATAAATATTGATCTGTGTTCAGTAATAAAATTGTGTGGTTACTCACAAAGTAATAAATATAAATAGCTTTGTTATCTAACACCTACATCAACAACTATTCAAATTTCCTAGTTCTTATTTACACTTAAACTTCCCGATTATCCGTCAGCTTCTACTGTATTACCACCATCCCCATAAGGAAATTGCCACTTGAACAATCATTTGTCAAACTCTTCACAACTTTTAAGCCGCTGCAATGACACTGATTGAGATGACCACTCCAAAACGACCTCCACAAAGCCCCTACATTCAATAAATATCCGCTCTTTCCCCGGCTGCCCACAGTGTCAAATAACTAGATGGAAACCAGTTTTGTCCGAGAATAAAGGCGACTTCGACAATTGCATACGGAAAATAGCTTAAAAGTGTATCTCTCGCTGGCCATATATAAAATGTGTTTCTTGTTATTTATTCAGGCATATGTGAGCCAAGCTAAATCAGGCGATAAAGTGCATGCTGGAGTGTTGAGATAACTTCTTGTTCGAACCCCTTGAGTATAGTTTGGCTTGTTGTCGAAAGCAATTTGGCTTAAACAATGCAAGAAGCAACTCAAGCCCGAGCAATTTATGGCCATGGAGTGCTTTGCATAAGGCCCCAAGTACCCCCCTACCATTTTCCACCAACTGCAACTCAATTATGGGGGCCATTGGAGTCATAACTATAAGCTGTTGTTGACTTCTAAAATGGCTATTCAAAAACATAACCCGAGGGCTTAAAAAGGGGGAGGTGATTTGACAACAAAGAACTGGGAAACAGGGAGAAACCTAACTAACTACCTATTTGAGCATAAGAAGGTTTTAAATCGAACTATATTAACAAAAGCAGATTAATTAAAACAGGCTGCTTTTGGGTTGTCCTTTAATCAATTTTATGTCTTCTGCACATCGTCCGATTTCTCCAGTTTCTTACAAATTTTCTTTCTGTGCATCCCCAACAAAGAGCGCTATATAGTTCTGCTGTTCTTGGTGTTGTCTACATAAGTGAGCTGGAAATATGATTATGATGGTGATGCTGATGCTAATGCCGGTTGACAGAGCCAGACACACCAAACCAGGCGATTGCATATAAATGGCACTCACTGTGCACAGTGATTTGCATAAAATGGCGCCAGCCTTAATAGTTTTTGATAAATTGTTGTCAATATTGCAAGAGCTGCCGCCCGAAAAAGAAAAGCAGTTGTTAACACAAAACTTATTTAATTAAATGCGTGGCGCCAAAGTTTTCTCTCTGCGATAAAGTTGCAATGACAAAGTGGCACTGCAATAATGAGTTGCATATGCAAACATCAAAGTTGGCAATCAAAATCAATGTCAACTCCAGACGACGACGACGACTACAAATTGTGGGCAACCAAGTTCCAGATCAAAGGCGAGCGATATAGCGCCGATATACGCAGACAGGTAGAGTTGAGTGGCATTGAGTGGGTTCAATAGCCTGGAGGCCATCCGCCCATCCGCCTAGGTTATCTACTGGCTGGGGGGCGTGGCCAGTCAGGCGTGCCACAAGCAAAAATAGGAAGGGCACTGAGAACTGAACAGTCACTCCTGGAAATGTTCGTTAATGTCTGTGACATCTAATTAGGGAACCAATAACGAGGAGACACAGAAAACAGGCAAAATAAATAATCAAAAATGCAAAAGGTAGTTCGCTCAAGAAGGGAGTTCTATTGACTTGCCAATGAAATATGGAAATTGATGGGCGCAACTCGGGGATTGGATAGCGATCCCCTATTAGGATAATTATATTTACTTGGAACTTCTATATCAAACGATACCCAAGATAGTCCTATAAATAATAGGTGTATTTCTATTAGCATGATTGGGTGTAATCGTAAAAGGGCTCTATAAATATAATTATGAGAGCATTTTAAGTGAAATACTTGTGATAATCAAACAATGAAAGAAATGCCACTTAGCTGCATAGACTATGTAAATATTTCAAGAAAATCGCATTTTTTTTTACGAAATCCAATTTCCAGAAAATATATGCAAAGTTAAATTAATGCAATTAATGTTGCTAATAGTTCACAATCTGTGCAAATAACCTGCTCGTATTTAGCCCCTAACAAAGTGCCTCCTTTCGAAAAGCATTCATTACCCCAAAAGCAGACCGGCAATTACCCCATCGAAAAGAAAAAACAGCAGCCAAACAGTTGACACAAGCCAAAAAGAAAATGATATGACGAGCACATTCCAAATTTCTTGTTAATGACGTAATTACCCACAGTCGAGCAAAACAAAAGGAAAAGCACAGCTAGCCGGCGAGGAGAAGTGGAAAAGCGCGAGACAGGCGTGAAAATCGTGAAGGAGGCGAAGCAGATTCTGTGGCAGGCCACACGACGTATACGTGACATTTTGGCCAAGACACACGGCAGCTCATCCCACAGATGTGTGCAAAATAATAGCAGTCATGTTACAAATTGATGAATTTATTTACTTATACATAAGGAAGTTGTATGACATTGTAAAGCAGAAACGAAAACAGTTGTTTACAATATAGAATGATTTAGAATTCAATGAGTATAACATTCAAGAAAGTAATACCATTATTTACACAACTGTAGTTATATAGCCTTCCCCTTGTTCTCCATCCCCTGGCTTTTAGCCAACTTGCACACATTCTCTGATTCAATGCAAGGGAAAATAGAATACTGAGTAAAAAAATGACAACGAAAAGAAAATAAGGAAAATAAGAAGAGCTGTTGCTGGCAAAAATATTTTGACACTTTTCGGCGACAAGCAGCTGACTAATTGCGAGAGTTTTGCTCTTTTGGAGAATGCCGCGAAAAGCCTCTAAAAATAGAGGGAGACTCGAGTAAAATGCAGTAGCGACAGCTGACGGAACTGAAAGGCCAGGAATGCTCGATGAGTAAATGGCTTATAAATGACGCGGACATTTTTTGCCGCCACAAACTTCCAGGCAGCAAAAAAAATGCATTGCCCAAAATAGGTGAGAAATGGCCAAAAAAAAGAAAAACAGACACGTGACAAGTGGGAAAGCAAAAAAAAATGTGGCAAATGCACAGATTCAATGGATTTCCACTCTTTCCCTCAGTTCGTAAGCTCACTGAACTGGGCAAATCGTATTCGAACTTTTATCAATATTAAATTTGCTGGGCAAACAAATTTTAGTAGAAACTTTATTTGTTTGCGGTTCATTTATATGCAGAAGAAGGAGTTGCAAGGTCTCCGTTTAATTAAAATGCGTGTATAACTAATTAAATGTGGAAAATGGAATTTTCAAAGCCCGTAAGGTTTCGGCTAATTAAAATACCTCTAAGCCAGGCAGAATCAATTAAAACATGAACAATAAATAACAAATATTTATATAAAAACACATAAATATGAGCTTACCAAAATGATAGATTAAAAAATAGTTAAATTGCTTTACGCATTAATAGTATTTAAATGTTTAATTTCACGCAAACATAAATTCCGACTATTTCTAATATCTGGGTGCCATTAACCCTTGCTGGCCAAGCTTTCTACGCCTTTGGCAGCCCCATCCATCAGCGTCGCTATAAAACACGCATCATTTATTCACCAGGCAAATAATAAAATTAAAAAACCATCAAAACTACGCCCTCGAAAAGCGGGATTATTTAGTTTTTTGAAATATTCATGCACGCCCGAGGGCAAGCATAAATTTTATTACCATATAGAACTATTTTTTATCGCCAGCCCATCAAATCTAATCAAATTAAAGTTGGAGAAAGGGAGAGTTTCCTCGAAAGATGGGGCGTGATGGATAAGAAAACTGGGTAGGAAATTAGTCAACCAGTTGCATGTTTTCGTAATGAAAAGCTACACATATATTTGGGTGAGTGTATTGGCCACCTGTTTTAATAGTTTTTGCACACGGCAGCAGCAGCTTTTTGACTGGAGTTGCGTGTTCACGAATCGTTCATCTGAAACTTGCCAAAAACCACGAAACTTGGCAGAAAATGGAGACCTGCCAAATCCGAGTTTAATTAAAATGAAAATCAATTTATACAAAGTAAGGAGAGAGATGGAAAACTTTAAGTTTCCGACGGATTTTATGAAAACATAAAAATATATTTTCACAAGCAAATAAATAAAGCATTAAAGTTTCACTATATTTTACACATATCATTAAAATCTGACATTAATTCATCTTCAATTATAAATAGAAAAAGCTGTCAAAAGTTAATTGCATGTATGGCCTACTTTACAAAAACATTAATATTTGATTGAAAGAGAAACATGTGCTGATAAGAAAAAATGGGTTGGGTTTTATT